AAAATCGCTTCATATCTTTCTTTCTACGAACCAATTCTTTCTTCCTGTATTATATCTCTATATGCAATCTTTCTCTTATATATTACCACCTTTGACATAACCACTGCTATGAATCCGGTGTTTATCTTGTTGTGCTGATGCGGTATGGCAACCTGGACCGATGCACATATGTGCCTGGTCCTACGTTGTAGCTGTCTGTCTGTCTGTCTATGCTTGTGAAACCTGGTCTCTTCGAGTTGAGGACGTTAGACGACTCTCTGTGTTCGATCATCGTTGTCTCCGAAAGATTGCTGACATCCAGTGGCAACACTATGTTAGTAATGCAGAGGTTCGGCATCGTATGTTCGGGCACAGAGACGATAATGCAATTGGTGTCACCATCTTGAAACGCCGACTTCGGTGGCTTGGACATGTTCTACGAATGTCGTCCCAGAGAATTCCACGTCGTGCATTATTTGCCGACTCTGGGACTGGTTGGAGAAAGCGGAGAGGTGGTCAGTATATGACATGGTGTCGTGGTATGAAAGAAAGCTCCAAAGGGCTGGCTTGTGTCGGTCCTTCACGACTCCCTGGTTGGGGTCCGAGAGATGGTGTTACACAGTGGCTAGAGACGTTACCAGATATGGTTCAGAATAGAAGCCAGTGGCGATCCTGCTGTAACCTTCTTTTACTTTAATCATAAAACGTCGTTGTATCTTCTAAAAGATTTCTTCTGATTGTACCCTATTGTTCCCTACTATTACTACTATTATTACACTACCTTACACCAATCTCTTTGTTATTGTTTTTTTTAATATTTTTTACGTTCCCCACTTTTTTTCTTTTTCTGCTTCTTAAATTCTCATTATTTTGTGTGGCGCATATATATTTGACGCAATCCTGTACCAATATATGTGTTCAAATAAACAAATAGATAAATAAATCTGTGGGACAAAACGAGGTGTGCTGCTTTTAGGGTAAACCTTATCAACAAATGCAGGTCAAGACAAACAGTGTAACAACAGCCTCTACATTAATAGACCTCAACATACAAAAAGGAAAAAGCATGATCTTCAAATACAACACGGAGAACACCAACCTAATCATATTTGGTGGGAAAACTCTGGAAGAGGTCGAGACTTTCACGTCAATCAGTCAGTCAGTAACAACGGAGAACTTCGTACGTACGTACATTAGTTCGAGTTGCTATACCACATTAGCACAGAGATGCAGTTGTCGATTCAAATCCGGTTGTGGTAGAGTATAAGTGGTAATCGGAAAGATCGCGGTTATTCAAGGAATATAATACAGTGAAATAAATTTTGAAAGAGAAAAAAGAAAGGGACATGAAGAATTCAGAAGATTAGAATTTGGGAGAACACAAAGAGTGGATGCACCTGCGCCATTGCAAACGATTTTGAGCCATGTCATTCAGGGTCTCTAACCATCCGTTGCTATCATCTCGCGGTCCACAACCAGGTAGTCTACACCTACCAACATGGCTCAGTCCACTTGTCAGTGACTTCATGGACTTGTGCCATGTTTTGTTCTGACCGTTCACCGAGCTTTCTTCCAATCTTTTCCTATACCATAAGACATCGCACGTCGAGGCAGTCGGTGGCTGGGAATACGTAACACATGTCCAAGCCATTTCAACTGATGAAGTTTCACTACGTCATCAATCGATTTGCCAACCTTACCTAGTACCCGTTTCCTAACAACTGTGTTACTTACTCGATGGTCCCATGATATACGAGCAATGTTTCGAAGACACCTATGATCGAATACTAGCAACCTACGAATATCCTCTACTCTTACCGGCCATGTTTCGCTGCCATAAAGTAGGACTGAACGAACTGCTGCGCAGTAAACACGTCCTTTGGTTGATAGACGGATATCTCGCCTACGCCATAGGTGACGCAAGTTGGCAAAAGCTAGTCGAGCCTTCTGTATCCGTGCTGAGATTTCGTCGCACACCAGACCACAAGGGCTGATAAGACTTCCAAGATAAGTGAAGCGATCGACACGCCCAACTACTTCACTCCCTATCGTTAGTTCGGGTGTCAATGCAACCCAATCCTGAAGCAACATTTTGCATTTCGAAGGAGAGAATCGCATCCCGAACACGCCTGCATTGTTGCTTATAGTGGTTAGAAGACTCTGCATTTTGTCAGCGTCTTCACCAAATAAAACTATGTCATCAGCATATTCTAAGTCAACAAGTGAATCTCCCGGTGGAAGTTCAACCCCTGGAAATTTAGATGAGGAAAGTGTTATCTCTAAAAGCACGTCAACGACAAAGTTAAACAAGAATGAAGAGAGTGGACAACCCTGACGAACACTACTTGATGTAATCAATTCTGATGACAGTTCGCCATAAGCTCTCACTCGACCAGTTGTTTTCGAGTAGAGAGCCTTTATAAGGTTAATGTACTTCTTTGGTACTCCTTTCAATGACAAACACTGCCATAGAACCTCACGATCAACAGAGTCAAATTCCGCCTTAAGGTCGAAAAATACTACGATTGTGGGGTGTCTGAATTTGTGTCTGTGTTCTAGAACTTGACGTAGTGTGAATGTCTGGTCTATACAACCACGTCCAGGTCGAAAACCAGCCTGATTTTCCCTAGTCTGTTCTTCACTAGCTTTAGTTAGGCGTCGAAGTATTATTGAAGCTAATATTTTAGGCACCATATTAGTCAAACTGATTCCTCTGTGATTGTCACAAGAGGACTTCTGTCCATTCTTATAAGCTAGCACAATCAGTGATTATCTATTATTTATTTATTGATTTGAACACATAAATATTGGTACAAGAGGGCACCAAATATATATGGTCAGATGGGATTACGTCCCGTTCCCGAATTCTACCTAAGACCTCAATTAACCTCACTGCTAACACTGGACCACTATCCTTAAAAATCTCAGGAGTACACCTGTCAGGTGAAACTTTCACGTATCTGGACAGTATCGTCTATGAACAAGGAGGATCCGATGCAGCCGGAAAGGTAAAGATTGGCAAAGTAAAGACAGCATTCCTACACTTGAAGAACATATGGAACTCAAAACAACTATTAACCAATATCAACGTAAGAATCTTTAATACGGACGTCAAGACAGTTCTACTGTACGGAGCTGAAACGCGGAGAACTACTACAACCATAATCAAAAAGTACAATTATTTATGAACAATTGTCTATGCAAGATACTCAATGTCCGTTTGTCGGATACCATCAGCAGCAGCCTATTGTGGAAGAGAACAAACTGGTTTCCAGATGAACAGGAAATTAAAAATACGCTGGGATGAATAGGACATACATTAAGGAAATAATCAAACTGCATCACGAAGCAAGAGCTAACTTGGAATCCTGAAGGAAAACGGTAAAGAGGAATGCCAAAGAACACACTGCGTCGAGAATCGAAAGCAGACATGAAATGGATGAATAGCAAGTGGAAAGGATTTCCCACGACGGAGTTGGATGGAGAATCCTGGTGGGTGGCCTATGCTCCTAAATGAGAGGTAACAGGTGTAAGTAATCTGTGCAGATGATTGAACAGCATAAAGATTATAATCACTGGGTCAACTACTTTCAACATTAAAAAGGTTCTGAAGGAAAACTGCAGGCATGAACTAGCATTTACATTGTACCTTTATTTACATTCATTTATTTAAACTGGTACAAAGGGGGGGGGGGTAAAATATAATTGTGTCACAGAAAAATGAAGATATAGGGAGAGGAAGATGAGAATAATAAAAAATAACAAGTGGATGGGAATAATAATAATAGTAGTAACAACAATAATGGGAGCACCAGTCCAATCCGGTAAGCACAAATAGAAAGGACTCTTTCGCGTCCTAGCCTATCACGAACCTGATTAAGTTTCTAAACCCTGTAGGCAGTATATATACACTCTAGATATTTTGTAGAAAAAAGCAGCTGTGTTGCCCACATTCCGATCAACTAAAATGTCGCCTGAAGTCGTACATAAAGTTTGGTTCTAAACTCCTTGTTTCAAGAGTAACTCAAACGACGGCGAGACTCTAATTTAGGGAAGAGCCAATCAGAAGCGTTTGAGCAATTTCAATTATTAGCCAATCAGAAGACAGCATAAAGTAAAAACATATTAAAAGAAAGTAATAAATCACAGTGGATATTCTTCTTTCACATGATTTAAAAACTCGTATGTTGGCATCCTAACCCTAACCCTAACCCCTCACCTAACCCTAAACCTTAACCCTCAACTAACCATAACCATAAACCCTAAACCCTCACCTAACCCTAGACCTTCACTCTCAACTAACCATAACCCTAAACCCTCACCTAACCCTAAACCTTAACCCTCAACTAACCATAACCATAAACCCTAAACCCTCACCTGACCCTAACCCTAAACCTTAACCCTCAACTAAACCTAACCCTAGCCTTACCCGTAAACCTAACCCTAACCCAATGGACGAGTTTCTATTCCATATGCATTGTGAATTCAGAACCTCTGAACCTTAATCAAACCTTAACAAGTTTTTAAATCATGTAAAAGGAGAATATCCACTGTAATTCATTACTTTCATATAATATATTTTCACTTTATACCAACTTTCTTCTGATTGACTAATAATTGTCAAGGTCACTTAAGATTCGTTCAAAGGTCGTCCTTAAATTAGAGTCTCGCCCAAACGACATATAACTTTCATAAAGTCCAAAGTTTTGAAGAAACATTTGGGACAAAAAACTAACCCGAACCATGAAAACAGTACGTAAGCCACGGGAGATTAACTATCGAGAGTTTGGCTGCCGACTGCATCGTTCTAGATCATATATGATCTTGGATATTCTATAGAATATTCATTAATGACGTATATTTAGTTGTACGAGCAAGTGAAAATCAGAATACTGAATTTTAATATTAACTATACACGCATACCCATTCAGTACAGAATTTTCTGGGCTAGCGGTTACATTTTGAAACACACAGTGAACAATACAATACAAGATATAAGGACGTTTTGGAAAATTACATACCTACACTCGGTTTGGATACCATCTCCTTTGCTTTTGTAAGACCAAACTTTGACAAGTCGACACATGCACGACAGAATCCCCTGCTTTTAGGGTCATAAATATCTTCGTCATCGTCTTCACTCACAGAAACACGTTCACCTTTTCTAGCCATGCTGATATGACCTTGACCTTGGATCACGTCAAACTTCGAGCCTTCTTGCAAGTGGTTGTGTCGTCAACCTTCGGTAATAAGGATAGAAGGTTTATCAACCTATATTAATCCTTGCAGTTTTTAACACTACGGAGGTTCAATCTCGTCTTGAATATGCCAACAGAAGGTGCTAATATTGCGTGTTCTAAATGTTTCAAAGTGGCTCAAATGGATGTGGATGGAATAGAAGAAGCTTTTGCTTAACAGGCATCCGTGTCTAGTAGCAGTGGAATACCAACACCTCCAGGCAGGAATCTAGACATATTAACTACAACAGATCATAAAAAAGAAACAGACAACTCATGATAAGATGTTGTCCTTAGACCTTAAGAATAGGTCAAGTTTCTTCTTAAAGGACACCTGGGAATTCGCTTGGAAGAGTTCAGTCGGCAACGGATTCCAGCAAGTGACAACTCTTAAGGAGTAGAATTTGTGTCAACAGTCCGTTCTGCTATGTTGTGCCTCCAATTTCTGGGTGTCATTCCTTAGGTTTGTATTGGGACTAAGCTTAAGTAGGTGTTTAAGAGGATGTCCAGAAGTCGTAAGGATACTGTAAGTCATCAGAAGGTCACCTCTAAGATACCTATACTCTGGTGGGTAAGAGTCAAATGATCGAAGGTGCTCCTCATAAGGTTTAAATTTGAGTCCCTGAACTGATTTCGTGACTCGTCGTTGGATACGCTCAATACTCTAAGCGAGGAAGGATAAAACTGTTGAAGATTATTTGGAAAGTCCTCCCGTCAAACTGTCCAAAAATGCGCTTCAACGTTACCAGTGCAAGGTTTCCTCGAAAGGCATTTTTATCACAGTTAGCGTACGACTTCAAATCATAGGGCAACAAGACTCCAAAATCTATTTCGACTCGGGATACTACTACAGAGGAGTTTCCTAAGTTGTAACTGTAGTCTGTGACATGTCACAGATAGACAACTTAACATTTTGAAGTGTTTGAGGTAAGTCCGTTATCGTCTTCCCAACTTTGAAGTCGAGTCAGATCCTCCTGAAATGTCTGTATATTGTCTTAGTTGCGTATCACTCACCGAAGTTTCACGTCATCAGCAAAACGTAATGTCTGACGACACCTGTTGTGGAAGATCATTTATATAGACCAGGTAAAGAAGAGGCCCTTGGACTGAGCCCTGGAGAATCCCACTAGGACATTCCATAGCCTGAGATAAAGTGAAGTTAACCCTAACCTTAAAATGTAGATTTTTCAGATGTGAAATGGGCCAATCAGTTAGAGGTGGTCTGATACCCAATCGTTCGAGCTTATTGATAAGACATATATGGTTGACCCCATCAAAAGCTTTTGAGAAATCAAGATAAATTATATCAACCATCCCCTTGCGATCAAGGATGGTAGTCCATCTGTCCACCGCAGTCAGCAGGTTGGCTATACAAGAGTGACCCTTCCTGAAACCATGATGTTGGGGTGAGAAGAAATTTAAGGACAGCAATTTGTCATGTATACCATCGCATATCAGGGACTCCATGATTTTTGAAGGTATAGAGAGAACAGCCACCGGTCGACAAGTTGAAGGTTTGGAATGTCGACCTCCTTTGGAAATTGGTGTGATGTGAGCCAGCTTCCAAATTTCCTGTGGTTCTCGACTTAGCTAGTGTGAGAACAACACGCTAAGTGGTGTTGCCAGCATTGAGGCTCCTTTCCTCAGTATAGCAGAATGAACCATATCTGGGCCAGGAGAAGTGTCTTTTCTTAGGTGCTGTAGTTTCCGGAACACCAAGCCAGCGCCCAGATCCGCTTCGGAAAGTACTGTGCAGTTGCAGATGAAGCTGTCATCAGTGTAGTTGATGTGGGTCGGTAGGGAACTCCAGTAATTCATTATTCAGTTTGAGAAACGAAGCTCTAGACAGGCTATTTGATTTCAGTTTTTGAGCCGTCCTAAAATATCCTCTCAAATGATCAGTCCTAGACGGGAGGACATGATAAGAAATGTTAATACCAAGGTCATCATTCAGTATACGATAGGCCAATATTAGATCACTCCGTAATCCACGGTAAGATAACGTAAATAAGTTGAATTACCTCGGTCTGTCTTCATCAGACGGAGCAGAGAGACCTTTTACCATTTTAGTCCCTCGTCGCTGGACTCCTTCCAGCATATATGCCTAATAGTTGAAACAAAGACTGGCTGCTTGAATCCCATATTCCAAATGCGGTCTCACAAAATCCCACATAATAACCTAAACATTTATTCATCCAACTACTGAAAAGACCTGCGAATAGCCGATAATATCATATAGCCTTTTGCAACAGCAGCCTTACAGTTAATAGTAGTTTTGAGATCACTGCTTATTATGACCATCCGTCCATCCATGCCACCAATGAGTTGAGCTCATCCTGCAATACTATTCTATCTGACATACTGTTTGTGGGTCTCCAAATCTTGAAGTCATCGGCGAGGAGTGGAACGGAGGAATGTTGTGCAGTTGGTAATTCATTCACATAAAGTAAAAGAGAAGAGGACCAAGGATCGTACCTTGAGGTACTCCACTTTTACAGGTTCTTACTCTGAGAGAGCTCCATTTACCCTTGCCTTCTGTCTCCTATCACTGAGGTCACTTATGCAGTTTACGACCTTATGATGGATTCCCAAACTTTCCAGTCTTAACTTCAGACCCGGATGAGAAACCTTATCAAAGGCTTTACTTAGATCCATGAAAGGTACGTCTATAGAAATATTTCGATCTTTTGCTGCAGCCCAATGTTCTCACGTAATGAGAAAATTTATGACACGTGACAGGCCTTTCCGAAAACCATATTATTCTCAGGATGTAATAACTTGTGAACAGGGTGCACTGTTAATGCAACGTAAAGATAATGTTATTGTTCACGTAACCATACCGCCAATTAGACATCAGTGAATTATCGATCAACAACGCCTGCAGTCCCTCTGAGGGCTACTGCCGGTCCCAAGCCCGGGTAAAGGAGGAGGGTTGGGCAAGGGGTTAGCGTCTACATCCCATAGAAAACTAACTCGCTAAAAAACGCTAATCAGAAAAAATTATTCAAACCGTCTAATCTCTGCCTTAGGATTGAGAAGGTCTTCTTTTAGTAGTACTATGACGCCTCATGATGAAAGCCGAATTCCTTCGGAAGTTACGAGGCCGGTGCCCCTTCTGACAACTAGAGAGACCATTTATTTAGGTACATGGAAAGTTCGTACAATGTGGGACACCGGGAGAGCCTTCCGAATTGCTGCAGAAATGAGAAGATACAACCTAGAGGTACTTGAGATCAGTGGAACACATTGGACGCAAGTTGGGCAACAACGACTAACTTCAGGAGAGCTCCTGTTATACTCCGGCCATGAAGAAGAAAACGCCCCACATACACAAGGAGTTGCATTGATGCTGTCCAAACAAGCGCAAAATGCACTTATAGGATGGGAATCTCATGGACCAAGGATCATCAAAGCCTCGTTCAAGACAAAGAAAGAGGGCATTTCAATTAACATCATCCAATGCTATGCGCCTACCAACGACTACAATGAAGACGCTAAAGATCAATTCTACAATAGGCTGCAGTCAATCATTGAGAAGTGCCCAACAAAGCACCTGACCATTCTGATGGGGGATTTCAATGCCAAGGTTAGAACGGACAACACTGAATATGAAGACATCATGGGACGACACGGACTGGGAGAAAGAGACGAAAATGGTGAGAGATTTGCAAACCTATGTGCCTTCAATAAACTGGTCGTAGGTGGCACCATATTGACACATAAACGCATTCACAAAACCACATGGACTTCATCGGATCACACCACGCAAAACCAAATCGACCATATTTGCATCAACAAAAAGTTCAGGAGGACGATGGAAGATGTGCGAACCAAGAAAGGAGCTGATATAGCATCAGATCATCACTTGCTGGTCGCCAAGATGAAATCGAAACTCAAGAAGCACTGGACAATGGGGCGGACAATATCACAAAAGTTCAATACGGCCTTTCTTCAGGATACTAACAAACTCAACAAATTCAAGGTAGTCCTCAGCAACAAGTTCCAGGCCTTTCATGATCTACTCAATGGAGAAGGGACTACTGTGGAGAGCAACTGGAAGAGGATCAAAGAGGCAATCACTACAACATGTAATGAGGTCCTGGGTCACAAGAAGTACCATCACAAGGAATGGATCACTGTTGATACACTGGATAAGATTCAAGAAAGGAGGAACAAGAAAGCAGCAATCAATACCAGCGGAACAAGAGCAGAAAAAGCCAAGGCACAAGCTGAATACACAGAAGTAAACAAACAAGTGAAGAGGAGCATCAGAACCGACAAACGTAAATATGTGGAAGATGTAGCAATGACGGCGGAAAAGGCTGCAAGAGAAGGAAACATGGGGAAATTGTATGACACGACAAAGAAAATCTCTGAAAATCGCCGCAAACTAGAACGACCAGTGAAAAGCAGGGAAGGCGAGGTAATCACCAATATTGAAGAGCAACAAGACAGGTGGGTAGAACACTTCAAAGAACTCTTGAATCGACCAGCTCCACTGAACCCACCCAACATCGAAGCAGCACCAACGGACCTCCCAATCAATATTGGCCCACCAACAATTGAAGAAATCAGCATGGCCATCAGACAAATCAAGTGTGGCAAAGCAGCAAGACCAGACAACATCCCAGCAGAGGCACTAAAAGCAGACGTAGCGGCAACTGCAAGGATACTCCACATTCTCTTCAAAAAGATTTGGGATGAGTAACAAGTACCAACAGACTGGAAAGAAGGACTTCTGATCAAAATACCGAAGAAAGGCGATCTCAGCAAGTGTGATAACTGCAGGGGCATCACTCTTCTCTCAATACCAGGAAAAATCTTCAACAGGGTATTGTTAGACAGGATGAAGGACTCCGGAGACACCCAACTTCGTGGCCAACAAGCAGGATTCCAAAAGGATAGATCGTGTACAGACCAAATCGCAACTCTACG